GGAGCGGGGGGTTGGAGTGGATGGCCTCTGTGGACCCTTCCAACTCTGTGTGATTCTAGGATTCTATTCCATGATCCTATGAACCCTTGGCGCTGCGGTGGCTCAAGTGGTGAAGACGCTGAACTGCAGGCTGTGGAAGGTCGGTAGTTCAGCAGTTTGAGACCCGAGTGTGCCGCATGACGGAGTGAGCTCCCGTCTCTAGTTCCCGCTCCTGCCAACCTAGCAGTTCGAAAGCGAGAAATTGCAAGTAGATAAATAGGCACCACTTCGGTGGGAAGGTAACAGAGTTCCGTGCGCCTTGGTGTTGAGTCATGCCGGACACATGACCACGGAAACGTCTTCGGACAGCGCTGGCTCGTCGGCTTAGAAACGGAGATGAGCACCGCAACCCTAGAGTCGGACTCGACTGGCTTTCGAGCAAGGGAACCTTTTCCTTTACCTTTATGAACCCTTGGGAACTCTCCACCCAGGACCTCTCAGTGTTCCCTCTAAGCTGAGTGAGTGTGAGCTAGCTCACAGTTTTTTAGCCTCCGGCTCAGGCATTTTTGTTTTGGCTCAGGAAGGAGGGCTCCAGAGCAAACTCGTTGATGCAGCCGCCCAATCACTGGCTCACCGCTTTAATGCCCGTAGCTCACACAGTAGAATCTTTGCTCACAAGACTCCACAGCTTAGAGGGAGCCTTGCTCAGAACCTGGAACCAGCCCTGTATTATCACGGTGAGCAGAATGAGTCTTTGGGGTGTGTGTGTAAAGGGTTACCTTGAACTCGGGCTCCTTCTTCGAGAGGCTCTTGAGCTCGCGGCTCAGCTTGAAGGCCGTGAGCATGGCGTCCTCGCTGGCGATGCAGAGGTAGGCCCGGCTGGCGATGCCCTTGTACGTGTTGATGCGGGAGAGCGAGAACTTCAGGAGGTCGTACCTGCGCCCGTTGGAGCACTCCAGACAGCTGCAGGAGACCTTGTGCGGGGACGGGATGGCGTGGCCCTTCTTCATCAGCATGTCCACGATCTCGTAGAGGTCCTTCTCGCAGGCCAAGGTGAGGGGCGTCACGCCGGGGGCGAAGCGCGAGTTGTCGATGGAGTTGTCGAAGATGGCCAGCGAGAAGGACTTGATGTCCATCTTGAGGCTCTTCTCCTGGTCCAGCCGGTCCAGCAGCAGCTTGACCACGTGGGGCTGGTTGGTGTCCACGGCCACCAGCAAGGCCTCGTGGACCTGGCGGAAGTCGAACTTCACGTAGCGGAGCAGCGTCTTGGTCATCTCCTCGCCGCCGGCGCGGATGGCCAGGTTGAGCGCCTCCCGCCACGCTCGGTCCTCCGCGTCGTCCAGCTGCCGCAGGACGCCGTCGCTCACCTGCAGCAGTTGCTGGACCTTCACCAGGTGGCCGTCTTGGATGGCGCTCAGGAGGCCTTCGGGGAATTTTAGTTTCTTGTTCACAATCTCCTTCCAGTTGGGCTGCTAGGAGGAGGAGGCAGGTAAAGTGAAGACAATCATTCTGTCAAACCCCCTCTACATTCTATTGCTCACTTGCCATTGTAACCGGGAGAAGGGGTAGGGGGAGTGTGAATGCCGCATACTTTCACTTTTAAACACTTTGAAGCAGGACTTTTTTGTAGAAAAAGACCAGCAGGACCTCATTAGCATATTAGGCCACACCTCTGAAAGCACAGCACATTAACGTATTAGGCCACACCCCCATGTTACCAGAAGTGTGGCCATCCAGCCACACCCACCTTTTCTTCTTATTCTGTTTACCTTGTTTGTTGTCAAAACCCAGGGCCTTTTTTTATAGCAGGAACCCCTTTGCATGTTAGGCCACACACCCCTAATTGTAGCCAATCCTAATGAGTTCCTGCTGTTGGGTGTGGCCTATTATGCTAATCAGTTCCTGCTGGGCGTGGCCAACTTGGGAGCCAGCCAGAACTCCGTTCCTGTGCGTTCCTGCCCAAAAATAGCCCTACTTTGAAGTAGAGTATTGCTTATGGCGCCTGGGAATATCCACTGGCCTTGGGTCTCAGCTTACACTGTCTGGCTTTTGTCTGCGGATGTCACCAAGGTGGGAACAGATAGCCATGTCAGGCTCGGGTTGGTAGACCATCTGTACCTGTTATATTACTGCCTTGCATCCCTGATGTATCTACCCCTTAAGAACATAAGAGAAGCCAGTGTTGGATCAGGCCAAAGGCCCATCCAGTCCAACACTCTGTGTCACACAGTGGCCAGAAATACCAGGGGCCATCAGGAGGTCCACCAGTGGGGCCAGGAGGACATTAGAAGCCCTCCAACTGTTGACCCCGTCCAAGCACCAGTTCTGGAGGCCTCGCGTCAAAAAGGATGTGGGCAAAATCAAGAGGGTGCTGAAGAGAGCGACAAGGACGATCAGGGGTGTGGAGACATAAGAACATAAGAGATGCCAATGTTGGATCAGGCCAAAGGCCCATCCAGTCCAACACTCTGTGTCACATCGTGGCCAGAAATACCAGGGGCCATCAGGAGGTCCAGCAGTGGGGCCAGGACATTAGAAGCCCTCCCACTGTTGACCTCCCCCCCAAGCACCAAGAAGACAGAGCATCACTTGCCCCAGAGCCCCTATCTATACCTTGTGGCTAATAGCCACTGATGGACCACTGCTCCATATGCCTATCTAATTCCCTTTTGAAGCCATCCATGTTTGTAGCCGCCACCACCTCCTGTGGCAGTGAATTCCATGTGTTCATCACTCTTTGGGTGAAGAAGGACTTCCTTCTATCCGTTCTAACCCGACTGCTCAGCAATTTCATGGAGTGCCCACGAGTGCTTGTATTATGAGAAAGGGAGAAAAGTCCTTCTTTCTCAACCTGCTCTATCCCATGCATAATCTTATAAACCTCAATCATGTCACCCCTCAGACGTTGTTTCTCCAAGCTAAAGAGCCCTAAGCGCTTTAACCGTTCCTCATAGGGAAAGTGTTCCAACCTTTTTATCATTCAAGTTGCCCTTTTCTGCACTTTTCCGAAAGCTATAATATCAGGGGTCGTTTCGTAGAAAAAGAGCTAGGGGAACTCATTAGCATAACTCATTAGCATATGCCACACCCCTGACATCACTAGAAGTTGTCATAAGGCCACACCCCCTGACATCACCGGAAGTGTGTCATAAGGCCACACACCCCGCCCCCAACGGTCCCGGCCGCTGGCCTTGCAGCTCCACTGCCGAGCCCCATGCAGGCAGGGGTGGGGAGAGGCAGGGAGGAAGGCAGGGGGGGGGAGAGGCAGGGAGGGAGGAACTTACCCTCCCCCTTCTCCTGCCTCCTCCTGGCTGAATGAGGGCTGGAAGCGGGGCGGCCGGAAGCAGGGGGCGGGGCTTCATCATGTGCCCTGCCCCCCTGCACCTCCCCCGGGGGAACTGCGTCCCCCCGCGTTCCCCCCAAAATGACCTCTGCCCACAACAATCCTGTGAAATATTTCACCTGAGAGATAGTGACTGGCCAAAGTTACTAATGTCAGCATATTTTAGCATTTTTTTTAAAAGCACAGCAACAGAGTAAACTCAGACCTTTTCTACACCTCAGAGTTGCTGCTGTTTCCTGGTAAATTTAATCCCCAGCTGTCTTTGCGGCACCTCTTTTGAAAAAGGGCATTTATCAGCTGTTCAAGACCACTGGGTCACCCTGACCTGGATAGCCCAGGTAAGCCCAATCTTGTCAGATCTCAAAAGCTAAGTAGGATTGACTCTGGCAAGTACTCGGATGGGGGACCACCTTGAAACACCAGAGGTAGGAGGCCGGGGGGGGGGCTTTATTCAGCCACCTCTCTGAATA